AGGTCTCCCCGGCCGGTGGGCGGGATCAGTCTCACCCACCAGCCGACGTAATGCAGAGGAGGAGCGGCAGCGGAGGTACAAGCAGCGACGTGGGACATGTCGCTGCCTCTGGTAAGTGACCTTTCACCCCTTCAGCAACCGGGGAGTGGGAGGTGGGAAGGAGAGTCGACCTGCAGTGCCAGGAAAATGGATTGTTTTCCTGGCACTGGGGTTTCTCTTTAACTATATGCTATACGTTGCAGTATTATAAAGGAACATAATAGTGTTGGGAATACAAACATGTGCTGGAGTAGCAGTTTAGGTTTCAGCCCCCTCTCAGGGAGGAGTAGAAAGGTGCTTAAACATACCTTTTCTCCATCGCTGTGCCGGTCTCGCTGCGACTAGCCCTACCTTCATGAGAGGCGAAACGCTGTGCTACGCCAATAAGCATCTCCTCAGAGATGCCTTGACTCAATTCATCTCTATAGGGAGTGTTTAGTGTCTCCATGCAGAGCGTGGAGTTGCTAAATGCAACTGAGATAGGAAGCAACTCTAGTGGCCATCTGAGTGACTGCACCGATAGGTGTTACTTAAAAACAATGTAAACACTGATGCTTCTTTGAAAAACCTTTAGAGAAACGCTACAGACACCATGAGCACTACATTAAGTTGTTGTGGTTCTGGTGACTATTGTGCCCCTTTAATCAGGAACGGTCTTGGGCATTCCATCTGTGACAGAGCTCCTATACTCAGGCTGAGTATCTCCGCCTGAGTAGCTAGCGTGATTATAGCTTGTCCCAAACATCAGCTGAGGCTTAATGAAGGGTAAAACAGATCTACCTTTATTAGAAAACACACAGGCATATATGCACACTTTCCCAACATACACATGGGCAGAAAGTACTTTTGGGAGTTCAGAGTCCCCTGGAAGTATTTTTCAAGTTCTTGTTTTCATTTAAAAAAAAATAAAATATATATATATATATATATATATATATATATATATATTTTTTTTTTTCTTCAATTACTTCCTTTACTTTACTCTCACTGGCCGGGTGCCATGATTAAATTACCTAGTTTAATGATAGATCTTAATACAACTGTGTGGATTTCTACTTTATTTTATTCTATATTTATATTTTCATTCAAAACAGAAAAATAAAAGATATAAGTCAGCAGAACTCATTTTTCACAAACCGAGGGGTCAGTAAGAGGATTATGCAGAATCCCCCTGAGAAACCTGTTAATGTTATACATGTCCTAAAAGGTATGTGACCCCGGTAATGAACATAGCAAATAACCCGAGACAAGGAAGAAATAGAAATTAAAAAAGAAAAAAAATAATAACTTGTGAATTGTGCTTAAGAAAAGAGAGGGCCAAGGATGACATATGAGAGAAGGGCAGTGGATGCCTAATTTTAGTTTTTAATTTTGTTTTACAGAACTCACAAATATGTTAAATAGAGGAAATAAGTAACTCTGTAACTCACTTTGTTTGTGCAGTTTTGAAGTCACAGTGAAATTATATATATTTTCTCTCTCTCTCAAATATCTAAATATTAAAATATATAATATCTGTCTTGGATTAGAAAATACTCAGATCCGCTTTCTAATGATTTAGTAGTGTACGTGCATCTTGTTTTATACGTGAGACACTGAGAGTGGGAGTCTCTGTAGTGGTTTAAAACATTTTGCCAGCCTGAAGTTAATTGATCCCTGGGAATTAGATTCCATTTCCAATGTACGTCAGTGAAGAAGAGAGAACTGTCACTTCTCTAAACATATGCTCTAATTAGTCTCTATAACAAGCAGAGCAGAAAAAAAAGATTGAAACTCAAAACCCACAAAACAAATAACTGATAATTGATTGTTATATTATAAATAACAATCATTCTTCTGAAGAGGACAGAATTCTGTTGGTCTGCTACGGCTGACTTGGACCCATTGTGATGCTCATTTTGCTTGGCCCAGGGGCAGGGAGCAGTGCACTGATGAGTTTCGGTGACTTTGACAATTAGTCTTTCAATTCCCTCCAGAGCACAACATCAACCCTTTGTTACCTTCGCTTCTTTGCTTCTGAGCTGAATACAGCAGAGTTCTTGCAAGTCAGGTGGTGGGGGGCATAGGAGCATCCAATAGCAAAGTAGGTGCACAGAAAGGGGGGCTTCAAAAAAACTAATTGGGGGCTAGTGCAAAAAAATGGAGGCTATGGAGACAAACAGGTCTATGAAGAGATACATTGGGGCTATGTAGAGTCGGTAGGCCTTTAATTTTCCAGATTAGCGACTTTAAATGTTTATCCATTACTATACCAAGTGCAGTTGTGTAGCTCTTGAACATATACATCTCTCACTGTATTTTCGTAGGTAGCTGGAAGCAAAACATATACTAGTCTAAAGTTAGAACTTTAGACTCGAAAATAGAATGAATCTCTTCATTCCAAACATGCCACACAGAGGTTATATTTCTATTTTTGGCTACTGTGCCTACATCTTGTTTTGATGTCTATACCTGCACAAAAAAATGTATGCGTTGTTTCTCTAGTCTTATTTTGTTAACCAGCATTTTCTGGACATCATTGCCTATTGGCTACTCACATATATGACTTTTGTTCTACATTATCGCCTGTGTTGTACTATCTCCACTCAAGAAAACTTGATTGCCGAAAAATAATATATATATCAAGATATCAAAAATTATCAGAACATTACAAAATGTAATATTTTTTCATAAAAGTATTCATTAAAATATTAAATCATTTGGACAGCTTATCCAACATTTTGCCATTAGCAGGGTATTTACTAAATCGAGAATTCGAAGTGAATTTAAAATTCAGAATGTGGTAAAATTTAAAAAGGTCAGAGCATACGAACTGATAGCAGAGCTGTTTCAGGTTCAGTTTTTTTCACCATGAATTTAAAATACACCTTAAATTATAATTTTTTTGTAATTAAGATAGCAATTGTAGATTATGCTAGCTTTAGTGTACCTCTAATCTTAACTTTATTAATGACAGGAGGCGAGTATTTGCTTAAGTCTCTCTTTACTAGAACTCCACAGCAGCACAGAAAAACAAGTTAGGTACTATAAAACTCCCCTCCCCATACATCATTTCCTTTTTCAAGCTGCGACAATACAGAACAAAAGTCAGAAAATAATGGGGAAGAAACAAAGTCCTAGATATAATGAATACGACAATGTCCACCATCCGAGAAGAACTGTCGGACCAGATAGCGTTGATGGGCTGTAAACTGAAACGAGAGAAAAACAGAATCGAACGGGTTGGTTAGCCAATTAAATGTACTCTGAATAAACATGTAGGTATCCAACGAAGCCCAAAAGTACCGTAACCTGTCTGGATCCCAACCTACTATGAAAAAACAGACATAAGAACAAGAGGCAGGTAGCAGAGACAACAAGTAGAGTTGCATACGTACCTGATGAACCCCTATTATAAAATTAAACAAGGCAGGGATACGAAAGGGTGGGAAATACTCGCCTCCTGTCATTAATAAAATTAAGATTATAGGCACACTAAAGCTAGCATAATCTACAATTTTATAACATGACAGGTGGCTTCGTATTTGCTTTTTTAACGCTCAGCCGACAAATCCAACGCTGTTTGTTTCACTGGTACCTGTTCCATGAGCTATTAGAGCAATCCTAAATGTACCTTCCAACTGCGAGAAGTGACAGTAGACGGATCAATGAAGATGGCAGCTGAAGAAGCATCCCAAATACGGAAAAACACCCTCCACTGATAGATCCATTGTACGTGGGGTTGCGACCTGTTTCCTAGCAGCCGGTCCATGAGCTGCTAAGCTGACCTATCAGGCATTTTCATGTAGGTGTAGAATGCTGAAGGGCCGCGAGAAGAAACTACCACCATGTCTCAACTCTTCATGTGGAAGGTGGCTCCTCCGATCGTGCCAGGGTCACCAGGCGATGTGGCCTTGCAGGTAAACCTCCAACCTCAAAGAATGCGCCTAAGTCCACCACCACTTCCGTAACAGAACCGAGTAGGATCTCTTGTTCCCTCATGACCT